AACATTTGTTCTTCAATTTTCAATTTAGCTCCAGGCCCCATGCCTCCTATTGGTCACCCAATTGATATATTTATGTTACCTACCTGGTCCCTATAGGAATTTGAGATTGTAGCCCCAGCCTTGTAGGTAACAGGGAAATTGGACATTTTCAGAATGATCGAAATGGTATTTCAGAACTATCACTCATCTATAAGTAGGGTTGCCAGATAAAATATAGATGCCCAGTTAAATTTGAATTTCAAATAAACAAAAAAATGTAATATAATATGTTCCATACAATGCAAATTACTCATCATTTTTCTGAATTTCCAACTTAATTGAACATCCTGTTTTTGTTTTTTTTCTCAATCTGGCAACCCTACTCATGTGGCATATACCAAATTAATTGGAGGAAAGACAAGATGAGATCAAATGGATCAAATGTGGAGGGCGTGCAATAGCCCCAGAGAGAGATGGAGAACGCGCCCTGATAATCGGACAGATGGCTGGATTGGAGGTGGAGACGAAGGAAGAATGGGCAGTTCATGCAACCTGCTTAGAGAAGTGGGGCAAAAGCAGAGAAGTAACCCAAGAGTTACAGAAACGCAATTCATGCTACAGATCCACCACTTAATTAAACAAGATACTCCTAGCCTCAGTTTTCCCATCACCACTTCATAGTGTGTCACGAGGAGGAGAGAGATCGTAGAAATGCTTTACAAGCACTGCACAACATGAGTTGTTATTGTAAAGGCCCCAACCCTGTTCTTTGCAACACACACTACTGCTAACACCATGCTGCTTCCATGCTGTTCTTGCCCAATTATTCTGAACACAAGAGTAAAATGTCACCTTGTTCCATTGCCCCATTGGGCCATGCTGCTTGCATTTGTATAACTCCCCACTCTTCCACATGGGCCCTTGTAAGTGCTCAGAGTTTCCTGTCCTTGGCAAACTCGATGACCTTTCCCCTGCTTTTTTAGCGAGCCATTGGTGTATTAGGGCAGAGTTGGGAACACAGCCCACAAGCAGAAGCTGTGACCCTCCAGGTAGCTTTCAGACCATGATGGGGCCCTGTGGGTCCCATCTAATGTGCCTGTACACCTGGGTTCTCTGTGCTCAACCATCAGGCAGAAACCTGCTCTGCAGATGACATGAGGCAATGGGCCCTGAGACTGACCCTCTCCTCTGCCGCTTTCTAACTCTTTGACTTGGGACAGATCAGGTGGCTTTTCCATCCAAATGTAAGGTTTCATTTTGTTACCTGATGTCCTTTTACTTTACTTGCTTTTTCCTTTCTTCACTCCCACTTTATGACTAGTGTTTACACTAACAGAGTCAACAATTTCTTTCTGAGTTACACATGATGGAGGCCTAAGATGCTTTCCCTTGCCTGGATTTCTTCAAGTCACCATGCCCCTGCCCTCAGGGAGCTCTGCCTTCCTTGCACACACCCCCAGACTGGGGCTCCCACCAGGACGCTGCACCTTTCCTTGGCTTCTGTTGCCACCTGCAGGATCATTTGAGGGAGAGTCTCAGAACCCCGGATGACAGTAGAAAAAGAAGGCAACAGCAGCAGAAAATCTTTGGGCTTCACCAGTTGTCAGGAGATTTCATGAGGCACAACCTCATCACCTCTTGGGAGCTCAAACTCCAATATTGAGTTAGCTGAGTGAGTTTGGGCAAGTCACTTCTTTGAGCCTATATCCTCACCTCTAAAACAGTATTTGATATCCATACAGTTGCTTTCATAGTGATTATTGATGGGTCATTCATTCATTTATGTATCCATGAAGCAGACACAACGTTGAATACAGAGACATGAAAAAAATAAGCTTTCCCAGGGGGAACCACAATCTCACAGTGGCATCAGTCCATCTATAGGAAACTGTCAGTTTGTTGTGACACTTGCTACAACGGAGGTATGAACATGTGTCATGTGAACTAAGTAGTGACTAACTCTGGTGCAAGCAGGGAAGGCTTCGCAGTAGACATGACATGTGAGCTGGATGTGGAAAAACACATTGTAGCTCCCCAGAATTTGGAGGAACACACAAGACTTGTTTACCATTTAGAGAAGAGGGGAAAAGACATTCCAGAGAAAGGAAGCAATGAACCAAAGTGCTTTGACCTCGCTTGCTCTAGACAGTTCCCAAGGAATGACTGAACTTGGAGATCCTGAAGCAGGCTTGGTAGGAGAGAACTGTGGGGACAGCGAGTTTTGCCAGCTTCAAAGCAAGGAGGCAGCCACTCACTCTGCCCATGGTGAGGCCCAGCCCTGGCAGAAATCTAAGACATGAATGAGGAAGAGGCGCTACAAGGTTGGGAAAAGAACATTGAAGTCAACATGGGGATGCCTGCTTCACGACCCAGGCTCTGCCTTCCACTCAACACATGACTTCGGCTAAGTTAGCGATCCTCTCTATGCTTCAGGTTCCTCATGTGCAAACAAAGATGATTATACCCACCTCAGCATTAATGTTCCACTATCCAAGCAAAATCGCCAAGACAGTGCCTGACACAGATGTGCTCAGATACGTTAGCCATTGGTATTACTGTCAGATCCGTGCCTTCAGGAAGTTATTTTACCTCACCAAGTTATTTTACTTACTTTCCTCATCTATAAAATGCAAATAACATAACAGTGTTTGCCCTGGATGCATCAGGAATTAATTGTGAAGATACCATCAAGTAACATAAGCTGTAAAGTTCGTATAAACCTGTTATAAATAAGAGTAGAGAATGAGATCATCAAACCTACAGTTTTAAAATATACTGTGTGCCTATTATTTATAAGCCATTTTTATTTTCATCGCTTCATTTAACTTTTCCTAACATCAACCGTATAAGGTAGGTATCGTGTTTATGTTCATTTTACATGTGATGAAAGGGAGAGTCAGAGAGCTTAGGTTCATTCATGTAATAGATGCTCTCTGAGCAGGTACTGTGCATGGAGCCATGACAAGAGAGGATCATGGGAGTTATAGCCAGTCAGAGGGAACAGGGGTGATGTGCATGTTGGCAGGGCCAGGCTCAGTGCTGAGACTCCTCTGTCCCTCTCACTCTCTCAGTGATCTCTCCAGCCTCATGGCTTTCAGCACCACCTGTATGTATCCTGACAACCACACATTTCTATCTCCAGCCCAGCCCTCTCTAGACATGCGGGTCAACCTAGTCTACCTCTCTACCAGTTTTTCTAAGAGATACCTCATGCCCAGAGTTAAGCCCTTCTCCACCTCTTCTTCACAGTCTTCCAGTCTCAGAGTCATCTTTGCTTCCTCTCTTTCTCTCACTTCCCACAACTGAACAGGAATCTTTTAAATTCTCCTTTGAAAAACACATCCAGAATCTGACCACTTCTCTCCACCTTCAGCAGTACCCCCGGCCTGACAGAGCATCCTCTCTTACCTTTATCATTACGGGAGCCTCCATTGTGCTCAATTATTCTCAACACAGCAGCCAGTGTGATCCTGGGAACACAAAAAGTCCATCCAGTGCTCAAAACCCACAAATAGCTCCCCATCTCTTTCACTTTAATGCCAAAGTCTGTAAAATGTCTGACTACAAGCTTGGCAAGGGGTCATTTATTGGCACATAGTAAGCACTCTATAAATATGTACTGAATGGATAAAATAACTATACAAGAGTTTAGTTGCATAGTGGTAGCTGCTATGAGCAAGAAGTACTACTATAAGAGGAAATGCATAGGGAGAGAGCCAGAATTCCAGTTGGATCTTACAGCTCTAAGTTCAGAGCTTGTTCCACTAAGACAGTGTACAACAGACTCCCTGGCACAGAGTAGGTGCTTTCACATGCTAAAGGAACTGGGATCTGAGGTGAGTTCAGAAAACAGGGAAAGCCTTCCCTCACCTTCTTTCAGAGGCTGCCCAGCTATCTCCCTCTCCCTCTCTCTCTCTCTCTCTCTCTCTCTCTCCACATGCTTCCATGCACACACCCACACACATCCTGCCTTCCCTGGCCTGTTTTCCTTAAGTTGGAGACTTTGTGTCTCCTTAAAATGTAAACAGTCTTCAAGAGGAAGAATAAAAAGTCACCTGGACTTAGCCAGGTCAAACTGGCTCTGCTAGAGAGATGTGCAGGGACCCTCTCCCCTAAACCTTATGGCAGGTGAGAGAGAGGCCAGATCTACTGGAGGATGCTTGATGCCTGAGAGAAGAAGGAAAGAGAACAGCACTGGAAAGAAATGGCTGCAAACTGGGAAGATACCAGTCCCACCTCACCAGTTAGATGGAGACATGCCTTGGGGTACTGGAGAACTTGGAATAAGGTTGCCCTCTGCCGGTGAACCTATGAAATCCACTCACAGTGGAAAAGTGAAGAGATACCTGAGCGAGGAACAGCCCGACTAAACTGTAACCCGACTGCACGTATTAACACATCTCGGATGGGCGCATCACAAATAAAGGGCACACAGGTCTGGGTAAGGTTGGCCCAGTGGGGTTCACAGAGGTATCTGGTCACATTGGGACGGTCAGCCGGCTGTCTGAGCCTGACGCCACTCTATCTTTGATTTGTCTCTTTTGCTCTGAGGACACCATCTTCCAGCAACTTGGCCTGCTCAGACCTCCCCTGGGGCTTGCCTCCAGGAAGGACACGCCCTGCACAGGCGGATTCACAGGTGTGGACCCCGGGCAGCTCTTTCTCTGTGTAAATTAATAAATGACCCTCGGCAGGGTTATCACCGCCCAGCCCTTCCCAGTCAGGCCACGGGAGATGAGGCCGGCGGGGGTCGCAGGCACGAGAGGGCGAGCCAGGCTGGGACCCTGAGCTGAGAACTGGCCTCACGCCAGGCAGATGCCCTTCCTGGGGTGAGATCGGGCCCCACCGAAGTCTCCAGAGGGTCCAGGGAGGCGCAGAGGATAAAGCACAAGCGGGTAGATGAGAGTGCATTTTGAGGGGAGGAGTCTAAGGCTTCCCTCCGACTCTGAAGGGCTCCCAGCAAGAGGAAGGGGGAAGACCCCTCGCAGGGAAGGTCCCGCCAGCGGGAAGGAGCCCTGGCTGTCCTGCGGGTCTAGCCTACCTTGGGCTCAGCCCCCACCCCCACCGCCCCCCACTCACCGCAGCGGCGAGTGTCACCTAAGATTCAGGAAGAGAGTAGGTGGGAGCCGCCGCCGTCTGACTCTCTGCCCGCAGGGCGGGCCACCTGGAGGCGATCAAAGTGAAGAAAGATTTTCTCAAACCCCGATCCCGAGCCCTACGAAGGGACGCCCAGGCGCCTACAGACCCCGGAGTCAGCGTCCGCCACCCAGGCGCCCTTCTCCAAGCAGGGAATCTCTGCACCACCGCCCTCGTGGGACTTGGGAGCCTCAAAAGAGGCGCCGAGTTTCCTTGGAGATGGGCACAGCATACAGAAGTTTGTTTTCTGCGATCTCAACTGCAGGATCTTCAGCTTTCGGGACTGAGCCCCCGCTCAATGTCTCGGGACTGCAGCGGGGTAAGGTTGGGGTCAAGTTTACCCCGGTTTCGGGCCTGCGCGTCGTAGGCATCAGCACCTCCTCTCTGCGCGGGAGGAATCCGGCAGAGCAGGGCTCGGAAAGGTCCACAGTCGGCGAGAGGAAGGGGCGGTGCTGTCACCTGGCCGCCTCCTGGGGACCTAGGAATTTGGTGCAGTCACACCACAGACGAGACAAACTCCACCCAACCCAAGAAAAGGAGGGCTTTTCTCCCCTACCTGCCCCAGGGGAAAGCAAACGGTCTCTGGCATTTTCCTGCATTCCTGCTGCCTGAGGTTGGCCGTGGTGGGCCGGGACGGAGGAGTTGCCCTCAGGGGGAGCAAACTTGACCTCTGCCAAGGGCGCGCAGTCCGCCCCAGATCCGCCAGCCCTCCTGGGAACAATGCCCCTTTGTCCCCGCCCTCCTGGTCCTGGTGCTGACCCTCCCAGCTCAGGGCGGCTTCCTCCCCGCAGAGGATTCCAAAGACAGCCAGTAGCCTCACTCACCTTAGAGGCCTCTGGCTGGGAAGGAAACGGGCCTTCCTTATCTCTCCGAAAGAGTGATGTAAGGGAAGAGAACTTTTCCTGTGCCCTGAGTATGTGCCAGCACTTGCATCCTCTCTGACAGCCTGGTCCAGAGGAATCATTACCCACAGTTAGGTTATGTAGCCTGTGCAAGGTCCCATGATTGGTAAATGGCAGAGGGGGATCTCAAACCGGGGGCTGTTTTAGAGAAATTACAGATACATATGTACATACATACATAAATACATGAATATATAGTTTCTTTCCACCATCCAGGGTTGAGGAGTAACATTTTGACACTGTCCACTTTCCATCTAGACCATCCAAAACTGTGGTTGGCATCTGCCTTACTCCAGTTCTTCCACACGCCCCAGTAAATCCCATCTTCCTCCCCGCCCCCCCTTCACCTCCCTCCCTCTTTACCTGCCCTACTTCCTTGGTTGCTTGGCAGCACTTAGGGCCACAGTATGATTGTTTTGGCGGCTCTGCCTCATTTGGCCCCTGCCTTATCATTTGGCTCTGACATGATAGTACCTTCTACTTGGGTGTACATCCAGAATGCCACCCCTCCCGCAGCCCCCCCCCCACACACACACCACAACCACCACCAAGAGGCTGGGCTCTGGCTTGTCAGCCCTCCCTCAATGCTCTGGCCAGTTTTTCAGTGCACTGCTAGGGCCTGGGAGGACCTGGGCCCGCCTGTCCGCTCTGTAGAAAGGCAGAACCTCAAGGATGCAGTGGAAAATGGTTATGTCCCCTCCCCTTGAGAACTATTGGCAGCATCCACAGATGTCCACACAGGCTAGAGCCAGTCCCAAACCAAGGATGATGGCCAAAGGCACAAGCAGTGGATGCTGGCTGTGGGGTCACTAAGGAGCCACAGATCAAAAGTACAGGCTGAAAGACTCCTTGAGCAAATATTAGCATGGGGGCGTTTTGGTTATTTTGAGGGAGGCAAAAATGAAGTGCATGCACTTACAGCTCCGCACATTACAAAATTCTTCTCCCACCCCTCCCTTTTTCCGCATTCCTCTTCTATTTGCTCTTCTTGCCAGAGAACTCAGTACAGATGGGAGTTTATTTAAGGGAAGCCTACATGCTATATGGGTACCAAAAGTCACACAATAAATAGAATTAATTAAATAAATAATAAAATGCCCAGTACTAGGTAGTTGATCCATGCAAAATTTGCAATCCCTGATGGAGCCTGAATGTTTGTATCAACCAAAAGCAAGGCCAGAGTAATATATGTGGAGCTCAGGGACCTTAGTTACCTTAACACAGGAGGATCAAATGAAACGTGTGTAGGCTCCAACCTGGCTTAGAATCCTGGTTCTTACATTAGCTGTGTGATCTTGGACCAGTTACTCAACCTCTCTGAGCTTCAGATTTATCTTCCATAAAAATAGAACTAATAATTCTTTATCTTGGCAGGACTGTTGTGAACAGTAAATGAAATAACATACGTATTTGAAAGTTCCTGATGTATAAGAATTAGTGTTTGTTTCATTATTGAAATTTCTATTAGAAATAAAGCCAAAAGTGATTTCTGTGATCACATGTCAAAAACTCTGGAAAGACAGTCCATCAGCGGTCCTTGGGCACCTCAAACAAGGATCTGGAGCTATTTAGAAAGGAGAAAGGGAAGTAGAATGAGGACTAGGGGTTCAAGGAAATAGCTCTCTCTTGGTTTCTCAGTTTGGGTGCAGAGGGAGGAAGTATGGTATTCTGGCAGCATTAATATGTTTTGGCAACATTTTTAAGAGTGTCCCCTTTTTCTGATAAATGTGACCAACTCTCCCCTTCTCTCTCCCCTTCTCCCTTCATTCACCTCTGTTTCCTTCTTTCTCCTGTTTCTTCCCACACCCATGGGATCTCAATTAGTCCTTCTGAGGCTCAGTTTCCTCATCTGAAAATCTTGAAATCAGAGTAATTCCTAGGGTTGTAATAAGGATTAAGTGAAATAAACTATATTCAATAAATCAGTCCTGTTTCTCTTAAGTTGTCTCATCTTTTCCTCTTCCCGGTTGACTTCTAATTCTTCCTGCCTCTCCTTCCCGTTTTCCACAGAGGCTGAAGGTGAGGCTGGATCGGGCACGGACATGTGGAATGGGCCTGGGAAATGTGCAATTCCTTTGTATCATTCCACCCTCTTTTGGACACTGCCCTTTGAAGATGTCTGTCATTATGATTGGCTGTTAATGTCTTATCAGCTAAAAATCTCCCAGCATCGGCCTCTATGAGAACATAGCTACTGAGTTGTTTATTTTCAGGAGCTCCTCATTGAGTGTGTGGTCACAATTTGGAATCCTAGAGTAAATAAATTCAATACTGTAAGTTGATTCAATTTGAGGCCATGCCTAAACTCAACAACATTAAAAATGTACCAGCCTGCCCTGAGGGCCCCTTGGGCAGGCTACATACAGGGACTTGCAGTGTTCATCTTAGCCCTTTGTTTGGGCTTAGAGACCTGGCTTCTCCTTCTGAGAAGTGTCTGAGAGTCAGGGCCCTGAATATTCTAGCATCCTGCAGGGAAGACCCTCCTGGTCCAGAACTACAGCTAGCTAGCTGCCCTGACGCGGCAGCGGTCCCTCCCCTCTGTGATGCTGCCTTCCTTTACAGTTCAATCTGGATTGATTGTTTGATCCATTTGTTTATTCTGCAACTATTTACGGTGATGCCTGCTATCGGGGGATGGCATAGTAATAAAGGCCTAAACTCTTTACCCCTATTTGGGACAACTCTGAAGGGTTATCCCAGCTTCAGAGGGCTCCATGGACCTGCTGCGTTCTTTGTTATGACTGCATCACAACCCATCTTCTCCTTTGTCTGATCCTCCTGTGTCTTTCCCTCCCTGCACATGGAAAGTGGGCGGAGACACACCTGTGTTTAAATCCTGGCTCTATCATTTAGTGACTATGTGACTTTGGGCGAGTTATTTAACCTCTCTAAGTTTCATTTTCCCTCTGAGGAAAAAGATTATTGTGAGGGTTAAACGAGTTTATATATCGTGTGTAATGACCCGGATCCCCGAAGCAGCTCCGCAAATGGCAGTTCTTCCTTCAATAATATTTTGCAAACATGACATCCCAAGTCCTACTAGAATTCATCTTTCCACTTTATAAGTTTTACTAGAATTTGTGTTTTTCTATTCTTGAAAATGATACTGCATCTTTTAAAGGGGTGCCTCTTTCATTGTTTCATTTTTAGAACACTGTAAGTAAAGCATAATGATTAAGAAATCGGAGGGAATGTGGATTTGGTTGACCTTAAATATGCTAGCTAACCGTATGACCTAGCTCATTGTTCCAAAATATTTTCACCTATAGAATGAAGTATGAATACTTGATACTTACAGAAGATGGTATTTTCCTTAAATGCCTACAGCTGTATTTCCCAGCCTTGCTGCTCTTCTGAAATGACCTTGTCATTCCTCCATCACTAGATGGAGCCTAATTCTGGCTGCTGGCATCTGGACTGGCCTCAGTGACTCGCTTGACCATGAGAATGTGGCAGGAGCCATGTTCTGGGACTTTCAAGTCTAGATCATTTGAGGGCTAAGTCATTTTGTCTGGGTCTCTTGTAATGTTTTCTGTTGGAACTCAGCCATCATGCTGTGAGAAACCCAAGCATTGGAGAGGCCACGGTGTACATGCTTTTTTAACAGCCAGCATTAACTGCCATCGTGGATGTCCAGCCCCTTTAAGCCTTCAGATGCCTGCAGCCCCAGCCAACATCTGACTGCAACCCCGAGAGACCCCAGAAAGAATGGCCCGACTGAGCCCAGTCAACCCACAACCCATGACAAATAATAATAAGCTGTTGTTTTAAACCATTAAGTTATGGGGTGGTTTGTTATACAGAAATAGAAACCAAAACGCTAGCTCTAAGGGTTGTTGTGAAAATTAAATGAGATAATGCATACGAATTGATTAACAAAGTGCTCGGTAAATATTACCACATGTGTAGGAAAGGGTAAGCTATTATATGGGGAGATAAAACATGGGTACAAATAACCTCATCTCATTCCATATTTAGAGAGCACCTGTCACATGCCAGGCTCTCTATATGATCATAAAATCTCTGAGTAGAAAGAAATATTGGAATTCTTCTAGCTCAACCTCCTACCCCTTGAGGACATTCCTTCTTGAATGTTTGTTTAATCCACTAATTATTTATTAGCCCTGCTCTGTGCCAGGAAGTGTGGTAGATGGTAAGTCCAGGAAGAGAGATACAAAGATGACTAACATAGTCCAGTGCCAGGGGCAAACACACAGACACTTTTTGCACAGCCTAATATCTGCAGAGAAGAGGTACCCATTCCCCTGCATTGAGTGGGGTGAATCATTTCATTGTCCACCAACTCATATATGTTTTCTGTGTACCGACTTGTATTTTGAGTAGGTGCCTTCTTGCTCCACATCCTGAAGTTGGCTATTTACACATCCACTTACGCATCTCTGTTCAAGCTGACCCTTGTCAAGGAATGCAGGCTTCGCCGGGCACTTGAACACCAACCCATGGGTTCTTTGAGGGCAGTGCCTGGGTCTGGTTCATTACTGGGACCTCAGCTCCTAGAGCTAAAAGGAGAGGAAAGAGAAAGGAAGGGAAAGGGAGGGGCGGGGAGGGGAGGTGAAGGGAGGAGAGGAGAGGAGAGGAAAGGAGAGGCGAGGAGGAGGGAGGGAGAGAAGGAAAGGAAGAGAAGAGAGGAAAGGAGGAAGAGGAGAGAGGAGGGGAGGAGAGGGGAGGGAAGGGAAGGGAAGGGAAGGGAAGAGACGAGACGAGACGAGACGAGACGAGAGGAGAGGAGAAGAGAAGAGAAGAGAAGAGAAGAGAAGAGAAGAGAAGAGAAGAGAAGAGAAGAAGGAAGGAAAAAGAAAAGAACCAAAAAAATGCATCCCATTACTTGTGGGTTCAGAAAAATGCCAAAGATTCCTTTAATTTAAGTTCAGAGCAAATTACCAGCATAAGCAGCTTTCTCATGCTTCACAAGTAACACTAAGTCTTTAATAGGCTGGGTTTTTAATAGGCGGGTGAAACCAGTTTTTTAAAACCCTGGAAGAGTTCACTTTGAGTTCATTACAACCAAGTAGCCCATAGCTGCTACAGTTTATGAGCCACCACTGTTTCCCACACACAGTCACGTTTTATGGTTTCTGAAAATTATCCTTAAAAATGTTAAACACA